CCCGGTAGCTCAGACATGAAGAGACCCCCTTAGTTGAGAAGCAAGTTATTGTAAGAGCTAGTACAAATCTCGAGCACTTTGAGACCGTTTCGGTATAAAACGCTATTATAAATCTAACTACATTTCATTAAATTAATAAACAGCGACTACAAACCGTGTAATAGGTTTTATAATCAGTATAAATAAGCTTTTAATTAGTATTATATGTTCTATATTTCTATTGATAGGTATTGCTACTTGGTATCTTCATTGCGGTGGCTGCAAGCCCTTCTGATGGCGCCGCATATACAGTACAGGTATGTCCAAAATATTGGATTCCATTCGGAAACAGTTGCTATCGATTCTTCGCATCTTTGAAGACTTGGGATGAGGCAGAGAAGGATTGCTCCTCCTGCGAAAACTCACACAGTCATCTCGCCTCCATCGAAAGCGAAGATGAAAACAAGTTTGTTAACACGATTTGGCAAACTTATAACAATAACTTAGTTAACAGTATGTATATGTACTGGATTGGTTTGAAGAGGTCGGACGAGACTTGGAGTTGGTCGGACAAATCACCATACACGTACAGCAATTGGGCACAAGGTGAACCCTCTAAGGATGGAGATTGCGTTCAGCTAAAGCATACGGATAATTCATTCCTGACCTGGAATGACTACACTTGCGACGCTGCTTTTGCATACGTATGCGAGACTTCTATTGGATATTAAATCCCCCAAAATGATTTGATGACGATATGTTTTGTTGCACCGTATATAGCATTTAATATAATGAATGTAATACAGTAGTATTCTTGTCTGTTATTTGAGATTTAATTAAATTTATTAAATTTCTGGACCGTCAGACTACCTCAATTTATTCCCCAAACAAGAGGTTCGATTCAGTAGGTACATTCATTTAATCACACTATTATTATTATTATTATTATTATTATTATCATTATTATTATTATTATTATTATTATTATTATTATTATTATTATTATTATTATCATCACACTATTATTATTATTATTATTAATATTATTGGCATGAGGTTATTACAGGTATATAAGAGCGCTAAATGCATACGATCCTTAAAACCGCTTCATAATATGGATACATATTATTATTATTATTATATTTGCCTCTATAAACCTTGTTTAAATAATGGAATAACATTTCTGAGTAACAACAATAGCATTGCTCTGAGTTGCATCGAGTGACCATTTTGATCAGATCATGATATCCACTATGAGTGAAGATCATTATCTAACTTTCAATTTCATCTTAATTAATCCAGTTGTTTCCTCCATAGTCAGTAACTACACTAACAGCTTTTATGTTTAAAAGGCTGGCGTTTTAGAGTTTCAATAAATATATAATACGCACAATTGAAATTTGTTCATGTCTTTGTTATTGAACTGTTTTAAAACCGATTCAAACGTCGGAATAGAGAGAAAGAAGGGAAATGCAGAGACGTTACTAACCAGTGACTTAAATACCGCAGGTTCAAGCGGTTCGTTGAATCAGGGCCCGATCTCCAAAGGCCCGTTTTATGCGCCCCGCCCCCTTATAAAAAAAATCTAATAAAGCAACTCATAGATACAAATCTGATTTACAGCAGTAATTGAAAGCATTTTAACATTATCTATAACCGTCTGGTTCGGGGGCGCTACCGAAAACGACTTATATGCCCTTAACAGAATCGTCAGGACTGCAACGCATATCATTGGTTTGGAAC